AGTGGACTTTTTGCCAGTGAAATTTTGCCAAAATGACAGCAATTTAAAATAGATGTTAATTTTATTATGATTTCATGAAGATTCAAATTAATGGTGTTTTTAGAGAGAACCTGTAAGTGAGTGTTGGATGATGGCGAAATTAAATTAAATGTAACAATAGGGGAAATGAGCATGCAATTACATATCCAATACTAACAGATAAAAAAATAATAATAATATTGGGTGATATCAATAAGCCGATAATTATTGTAATGTTACTACTGATAACCGATAACCAATAAATGGCCGATATTAACATTATACACTAATTTATTTTAATACATTTAGAACACAACACTAAAAATCAGTTAGGACATGGTCACATTCACCATTGTATGGTGAATTTTCGAACTGTGGATTGTTAGTGAAATCCAGTTATTTCAATAGAAATCCATGCAATCAGAGTGAATTATTTCTCCACACAGATCAGTGTTTTCACCTCAACTTTAACTCACAATGTGAATTTAGGCATCACGACATTATAATGTATTGTATGAAAAATGCATATTTTATTATGATTTGCGAAAGATTGTAAAAAATGTACTGTAAAAATAAGGAGACGGAACATACACGATTACATATCCAATACTAACCCTGATACCAATTAATACACATATATATATATATATATATATGAATGTAAAGAGAGGGACAAAAATGATTCAGATAAATGTCTAAATACAGATCTGTGCATTAGGTATTGCATTGCTCATCATCTTGACATTTGTCTAAGATCTAACAACCAATATTATGAACAGAAGGTGACTATTAATTATAACATCCAAAAAAAAGAAAAGTTTTTAAAAACAATGTTAAAAAAAAAGACACTTGGACATAATTTGATTACATTATGATTGAAAATAAAAACTCAGAAACTGTTGAAACACCGATTGATCAACATCAAATTGGACTAAAAACTCTAGAGTGAGAACTCTGACCTCTCATGTCATATTATACTTAATACATGTTATTATACAGTTTGGTCTTTTATCATTTTGATGTTTCTACTGTTCTGTGAAAGATTGCATTCTGTCTAAGAACAGCCCTCAATCATGATTAAATGACTGTAACGCACAGCCTTCGAGGCAAGTGTAAGTGGCTGGTGTTTCTGTGCAGCTACAGGCAAGTGTTCCTACCATCTCATTGGTAATGGGCAGGCGTTTCCTGAGTAAGCTGGTAACCACCTCCACTATTGAGTCATGCAGTTTGGGAAACCGCAAAAGCTCCTTCGGACATAAACAAACACACATACATACAGTAGGTTAGCTGTCAATTATTTAAAGCACTTTTACACTTCCTGTGTGAAAGAGTGAAAGCATAATATTCACCCAACGCACTTCCAAATATTATGAGCATCAAATCTGTTCCCCGTGTTCCCTCCAGCACACATTCTGAAGTTAAATTTATGTATATAACAGAGGAAACCGAAAAAATGTTTAATGTAAAACAAATGTACACAGTGAAGGAAGGCAGCAGGACAGAGAAGATAAGAGCAGAATGAGGAGCAGAATCCTAATGCAGGCTGTTCTGAGTCTGCGTGTGTCAATCTGTTGTGCCCGTGTAAAAAGCTTTCACTCTCCTCTTCACATTTCATTTTGTAGAAATGGAAAACAGAATTTTGTCTTGCTTGTTTGAAATAGCAGAGTGTGATGTACTACGCAGAAAACATTCTAACATTCACGTCGCAATGCTTCCTCCCTAATCCATCAAAAACATTTATGAAAACTGAGCCACAAAATGCACCACGCAAAAATGGTACTGGTATTGACGACACAACCACATTAAAGGAATAGTTCACCCAGAAATTTAAATTAGCTGAAAATCAGGCCATCCATGATGTAGATGAGTTTATTTCTTCATCAGAACAGATTTGGAGAAATGTAGCATTGCATCACTTGCTCAGCAACGGATGCTCTGCAGTGAATGGGTGCCGTCAGAATGAGAGTCCAAACAGCTGATAAAAACATCACAATAATCCACACCACTCCAGTCCATCAGTTAATGTCTTGTAAAGCCAAAAGCTGCATTTTTGTAAGAAAATAATAGTTTTTTTAATTCAAACTGTTGTTTCCGACTAAAATGAACTCTCTATATCCATAATATTGCTTTCTTCAGTGAAAAGGTTGTCTCATCTGAATCAGGAGAGAAATATGCACAGATCAAGGACAGTTTTAAGCAAATATGTCAGTGGTTTTTCCTGTGAGAGACAACGGAGGATGGACTTTTCAATGGAGGAAGCGTTATTATGGACTCTTTTGGCCAGAAGTGACGTTTAAAACTTATTAATGATGTTTTTATTTATTACAGACAAGCAGCTTTTCACTTCACAGGATGTTAACTGATGGACTGAAGTGGTGTGGATTACTGTGATGTTTTTATCAGCTGTTTGGACTCTCATTCTGACGGCACCCATTCACTGCAGAGGATCCGTTGGTGAGTAAGTGGAAGAAACAAACTCATCTATATCTTGGATGGACTGAATGTGAATACATTTTGAAGAATTTTTCCTTTTTTTGAGTGAACTACTCCTTTAACATCTAACTACACACGTTACAATACAAGCGTGGATGTTCTGCATCAAATATTAATAGTCAGTGAAGCACCTGTGTGCTGTAGGCAGAGCAGTGCTGGATGATTCTCTGAAGTTCCTCGTGTACGAGCTCCACACAGCGCAGGCTGGGCTCCTCCAGTCTCTTGATCTGTTTCTTCACCAGCAGCTCAAAACTGACCTCAGGAACAAACAGCGCCGGCCGAGGACCCTACATCCATCACAACAACAAATACAATCAACCCAGATCTAGTCTGCATCTGTTATATAAGTGTTACAGTGTGTCCTCAAATTCTGACCGATGATTTTCCATGGCTTTTATGATTAATTTAATAGTGACTGCACTCATGGAGAACAACTTTTACCAGCAGAAATATTTCAGACATATATAAACAAATATATAGAGTACCAGTCAAAAGTCTGGAATAATTAAGCTTTAATTAAGATTTAAACATGTTTAATTTTCAGCACTTATTTGATCAAAAATATAGTAAAATCAGAAATATTGTGAAATATTATTACAATATGAAGTAGCTGCTTTCTATTTGAAAATATCTTAAAATGTAATTTATTCCTGTGATGTAAAGCTGAATTTTCAGCATCATTACTCCAGTCTTCTGTGTCACATGATCTTTCAGAAATCATAATAATATGCTGATTTGCTTCTCAGTTAGCATCAATTATTTTTGGTATTCGATTATTGATAATGGTTATTATCATTAATGTTGAAAACAGTTTTAATTTTTGTGGAAATCAGGATACAAAAGAATGGCATTTGTTTCAAATATAAATCCTTTGCAATATTCTAAATGTATTTACTGTCACTTTTGATGAATTTAATGCATTCATTTCTGTTGTTTTTTTTGGTAGTGTTTTCACAAAAAATATTAAGGTGCAAAGCTGTTTTCAACATTGATAATACACAGAAATGTTTCTTGAGCAGCAAATCAGCATATTAAAATGATTTCTGAAGGATCATGTGACACTGAAGACTGGAGTAATGATGCTGAAAATTCAGCGCTGCATCACAGAAATAAATTATATTTTATAATATATTCAACTAGAAAGCAGCTACTTCAAATTGTAATAATATTTCACAATATTCCTGATTTTACTGTATTTTTTATCAAATAAGTAATCATAAAAGACTTCACTCAAAAACATAAAAAAACGTTACCAACACTAAACTCTTGAACATTAGTGTAGCTATACTCTACAGACATCCCCATGCATTTTCAATGACTTTTAAATATTTTATTTAAGAAATGATTTTATTAACATTAAGATTTGTTACATTTTGAAGGCCTAGAAATCACAATTTTAAAATTCTAGATTTTCCATGACTACTGATCCAGAATTTATTTGTTTCCAAAACTCTTCAAGTTGAGGACACGAATAGGATGCATTGTACCATAACACTGCGTCCAGAAAAACCTGTTTTTAAAAAGAATTGCCATTATTCCTGCAATTCGGTTTGGTGACACATATGATGCATTAAATGCACACTTTACTTTTAAGAAAGTGAGAAAAGGAAGTTGAGAAGATCCACAAAGGCTTTCAAAAAGTACTGTATATGCTTATCTGTACACACACACACACACACACATGCATGCATAAACATGTAAATATTATACCGTAGCGTTTCGAATAGCTGTGAGAACGTCTAGCTCAGTGAGTCCTCCAAGTGGGTCAATAGACTGCAGGGTTCTTCCAAACGTCTCATGGAATATGTAACAGATACGAGCTCCTCCACACCTACATTTAACAAATGCACACACAGTCAGTCAGTCCACGAAAATTAAAAATCCTTTTAGGGATTCACAGGCACGTTGGCACATTCACACAGGCCTGCAGTCGTACCCAACCGTCCAGCCAGAAAACGTCAATACGAGACACTTAATGAATCGATAGCTGGTGTGGACTTAGCCAGATATGAGAGATGAACAGCATTTTATCCAACGGTGCACATGGTGTAAATAAGAAGCTGGGCAGACTCGCGGATCCTCTGCCTGTCAGATTCAGCCAAGCAGACAAACTAAACATGGTGTTGCTTGATATCTGTCATGAGTTTCAGAGTGAAGATGCTGCTGAAGTCACAGAAAAAAAACGATTTAGCAGGAATGTAGTCTTGGTTATGACAGTGTGTCAAACTCAATAGCATGGCGTAAGAAGGCAACCTTTAGTAAGTGGCTCCACAAATAACAGTTATGACACGATCTTTGACTGTCTGATGATTATCGCGCTCAAAAATTGCAAGAGCTTTCTCAGATCCCAAGTTCAAACCTAGCTGGCTGACTACTAAACTTTTAATTAGGGCTGTGCGATATTGAAGAAAAATGTGATATGCTAAATAATGCGATATTCAATATGCGATACAATATTTATTTTTCTAAAATCAATTTAAATTGTATTGAAATATATTTTTAAAAATGATATAACCAACATATCGTTCACATTATTTCAGGGAAAAGAAAGCATCATTACAACTTCTGAAAATGAACAGCCATGTTTTATTGTTGCATAAAACAAATCGGACATTGTTAAAAGCCTTATGCTATGGATTGTTGCTTATTTTCGGGAACAAGGATTGATTTTTCTGCCGAGCATAGCTGATACAAATTGTTGTGCTTCGCTTTGAGGTGACTGTAAAAATTTGTAGTGTTTTCCCTTTGCGTTGCCACTCGAGATGTTTTACTTATAACTTCAGTCTGCATGTGGTCATCTCTTTAAAAGCCAAAATACTGTCATATCTTTGAGGTGCTTCTTCGTTTTGGCACTAAATCGTCGGCAGCAGCTGCGGGTGCTTTAAGAAGGTCGCAAACCGGACAAGACGCACAGCAAATGTGTAGTCTTTCAAATTCAAACACATTGTTTTCTATGAGTGTAAGCACACCGGCACTGCTACTCACTGCTATTCAAAATCCTGCTGCGCCGCAGAGCGACAATCACTTAGTTTGCTCTGCTTTGTCAAATAAGACACTTCAACTTTGTTCATTCTTGACGTGAACAGTTGGCTGTTTGGTGATTAGATTGACTGACTGCTGTCTAGAACTGAACGTGACACATCTGGAGTGTGATCCCTGGGAGCTGTCCTAAAGACGGCGCTGCGCTTCTCGTCCGGTGTGCGACCCCCTTTAGGCTACCTCATCTTATCAGATTAGCTCGCTATGAAAGAATCGCGGCTTGAGTCTTGCGTCAGAGCACACGCACACATATCAATCCCAACTAACATCCACGTGCCAGATGCTATACTATCTGCATCGACCTAATACTTTGACCATACATACATTTTTGAAGTATTAAATCACTCATTTATTGCAAACCATTGCGATACCATAGCACTACTTTTAATTGGGGTTCCTGTTTTTTTGACCCCAAGTTTAAAGGGATAGTTCACCCAAAAAAATCTGCCATTGTTTACTCACCCTCCATTTGATCCAAACCTGTATGTTTTTTCTTTTGCTGAACACAAAAGAAGATATTTTGAAGAATGTTGGTAACCAAACAGTTGACGGTAGCCATTGATTTTCATAGTAGGGAAAAAAATACTATGGAAATCAATGGCTACCATCAGCTGTTTGGTGGAGGGTGAGTAAAAGATGACCATTTTAATTTGGGGTGAACTGTCCCTTTAAGTCCTTGTAAAATGATAATTAAGACTTGTATTATACTATTAAAGACTTTTTATGCCCTCATGTTTGATAAAGCTGAATTTAAGACATTATACGGTCCTGCATGAACCCGGGAAAATTACGAGGTTAAAATATTTTTTAAACATTGAAACATACATGGATTAATTGTTCACAATAAGATCTAAAAAATCCATTTCGAAAATAGATGGGGTGAATTTTAATTTCAAGCCGAATTTAAAAATTCCAGGTATGACGCACGTACATTCCAGGTATGTACATTAATCATATACAAATATTTTGTTTGAACTACGGCTGAAATGGTTGTCAACGTTATTGACAACGGCCTCAATAAAAAAAATTGTCGACAAATATTTTTGTTGTCGAATAGTCGCTGCATTATTATAATTCTCTAATTCAGCCCTCCTGCATGCAATCCAAAAGAAGACACACTTATGAGAAGTGCAAAAGAAGCCAAAGCAGTACAGTGTAGGAAAGCATTACAAAATTACAAACAAAAGATGCTGCCATGTGTAAAGACCCCAACAGACTCGAGGCAACATTCTTTTTCGTTCTTTGCTTAGGGTTATAAAGAAGTTTGATATATGCAAGCAGCAGTTTACTGTTAGAGAACATCCTGCCGCTGCTGAGAGCGATGTTAAGAATATGGAAATACTGAATGTGCTGGGTATTTGCCTCTCAATAACAAAAACACACAAAAAGCATCAAATTGTGGGAAAACAGCCGTTAAGAAAGCATCTGATGTGGATGGTTGCACCAGCTCTGCTGATACGTTTATTTACACAGCACTTTATGGAAAAGACTGTTTTGAAGCAATTAGCTTTACATCATTAATAATGTAAAGCTTTACATTATTCATATAGCTTACACAGAAATGATTACCTGTTTTCTGTAATTCATTTCTCCATTTCCTTTTTTCTTTTCCTTTTTTCTTTCAGTAGTCTTTCAAGTATTATGTAAATACATATGCATTATTTTATTAACTGTACAGTAAATAATGCACACATCTGTACATAAATCTTCGGTTCCAGATTTGACCACATTATTATTATTATTTTTTTTTTTTTGTCTTACTTATTTAATTGTTCTTTCTGTTCTCATGTCATATATGTATGTACTGTATGTACCAAGAGCTCCTAAAAAAACATACACTTTGTGAATAAAGCTAATTCTGATTCTGATTAAACATGAAAAACAGCATCAGTGTCACTTTCAGTTAGAATTACAACTTGATTTTTTGCTATAAAACAGCTCTATATCAATATGTATAGAATATCCATAACTCGATATTTTAACCGATCAAAGCCTACGGTATAACCAGCAAAATAATCAACGATTAGTCGATTAATCATTCTTATAATTGTTAGATTAATCGATTATCAAAATAATCTTTGAAGTAGATTGAACTATGGTTTGGGAAAACACCAAATCACTGAACTATGTTGGTAGCGACGGAACTTGATGCTTTTGGGAAACGCACAGCTTAATGATTCAAAATATTGTTTGTGGGGTAAATATTTTATCTTAAAGGGACAGTTCACCCAAAATGAAAATTGTTTACTCGATTTTTCTTCTGTTGAGCATAAAATGATATATTTTGAAGAACAGTTAACGGTCGCCATTTACTTTTGATAGTATTTTTTTCTGTTCTATGGAAGTCATTTAATCAAATGATTTAATCAAATGATGACAGAATTTTCATTTTTGAGCGAACTATCCCTTTAATGTGAAAAGACCTTTAGAGGAAATAAGATAAACAATAATTTAACAGAACTTGTTTTGCAGAAAAAACATCCTAAAGCGTGTTGGTTCAGGTACTCACAATTCAGAGGTCTGGATGTGCCTGGCAGTGCCTTCGATGGTGTTGCAGTAGTCAGTGGCAAACTTGGTAACGATCTGCAGCAAGGTGGCGCTGTGGTCTTCCACAGGCTGGCCGTAGCTGTTGAGTCGGGACTGGTACTGGGCCGTGAGCACTGTGACTCTCGTCTTGAGCTCCGGGAGACAGTCTCTGATGTGATGCATGAGCAGTCGGCTCAGGGTGCGAGCCAGGTAGCGGGAGCCGCAGCGGGAGGCTAATGATGGGTAATGCCGCTGCAGGAACACCTGCTCATCTTTGCAGGAGTCGTCGAGACTCTTTTGGGTGTTCAAGTCATGTTGGCTCCTGGTGAAAAAAAAAAAAAAAGTGATTATAGTATTGGACAGTGAAAATTGGATAGAACCCTGAAAAATTAAAAAAATAGTATGAAGGCACCAGAGCGCATCCAAATTCACTGTCTGCAGAACATCCTGTCTGATAGGATGCTTTCATCTAGTAGGTTTTAGGAACTATCTATTGCTTCTTATAATATCCCATAATCCTCTGTGTGTGATACGGTGGAAGGACACAAACATAAAAACGGCATCTATTTACTTGGTTATCTCTAAAGCTCTAAAATTTGTTCTAGATCATTAAACTTGATGTTATGCAGCCTTGGTCTCTTCCTTTCAGGAACCTTACAAAGGAATCTTTCATGAAAAAAAATTTATGAATAGTAAAAAAAAAAAAAATCATAATGACTGTGAAATTATTGACTGGGCAGCAAGGCTGCTAGCTTTGGTTTTGTACAGTTTTTGAGAGTCTCTTATGCTCATCAGGGCTGCATTTATTTAATCAAATTTACAGTAAAAACAGTAATACTGTGGAAAAATGATTACAGCTGTTTTCTATGTCAATAATATTTTAAATATAATTTATTCCTGTGATCAAAGCTGAATTTCCAGCATCATTATTCCAGTCTTCAGAGTCACATGATCTTTCAGAAATCATACTAACATGCTGATTTGATGCTCAAGAAACATTTCTGATTTTTATCAATCTTGAAACAGTTGTGCTGCCTCATATTTTCTGGAAACTGTGATTGTCATTTTTCTAGGATTCTTTTGATGGATATAAAGTTTAAAGCAAAATTTCAAACATAAATCTTTTATAATATTTTGAATGTCTTTAAGGTCACTTTTGATCCATTTAATGCATCCTTGTTGAATAAAAGTATTACATTCTAAAAAAATAAAAAATCTTTACTGACCGGCAGTGTATATGAACGGTGGTTGAAGGGGCCAAAAAAGAGATAATTTTAGAGACAGAGCGAGATATTAATTTTTTTTTCCTTTGGAAAAAGGTCCACATAGTCATTCATAATAAGACCAAGTAGGCTCAGTAAGACAGAAAATCGAGTTACCATTGATTTCATGTTGACTTTAAATATAGAGATTGCTGAAATCATTAGGCATGAATTGTTCTTTGAGAAAAGGGCTTCACTCTGACAAAAGGGTCTTCAGCTCTTTCATTACGGTCACAGATAATTTCTAAATTAATCTGCAGTGCATTCTTACAGGATAGAGCTAAACTGAAAATTGTTAGTATACTGCCCACTACTGGAAAAAAGCAGCTTCTACCTTTGCTTCTGTCAACAAAGTCCCAACTACTGTGCCCATGCTAACTAACTAGGAATGAAAACCACAGTTTTACATTTTCTAAAGAAAACGTGTTGTGAATGGTTGCTCGGGCATTGCTAGGCAGTTGCTAGGGTGGTTTCGGGTGGGTTTGGGGTTTTTGCTTATTGCAGGGTTTCTGCACATTTTCCATTTCAAAATGGAAACACCAAACCCAGACCAAAGTTCAATGCACAGCATTTTATTAAAATCGCAATGCTAAACTATTACTTTTACGGAATACGTTTGATACGCTTTTCACACTCACTACATAGTGAAAATATTTAAAATTCACAATACTGTCACTCCAGTATACTAATGTTTGTTATACTAAATATTTCATGATGAAGAGCAGGCAGTAACCTCACTCATATATAACAATATTTTACATTATTTTCAGTATTATATAGTAGTCATCTGTAATCAGTAGGGCAGTCATCTGTAGTGCAAATGCATTCACCGAATATATTAGCGTTCTCGTAGTGAAAACGTGCTTATATGTAGAGAAGAAACCAAAAACGCTTTATAACCTGCATATATTCACCTCTGACACATCAGTTAGATACTGTAATCGTGGTTTGTTGTTGCATGACCACCAAACAGCACAACAGGAACTTGCTTATAGACTGGTTGAAAAGATTACACACTCCCTTTATCTGTTGTTGGTTTGAGGTACTCACACTCATTCATTAAGTAAAGTTTAGGAAAAACAGTTTTGAGTGGTGAAAATATGCACCTTGAACTCACTTCCTGATATTTTATGTTAAAGGAGTAGTTCACCCAAAACTGAAAATGTCCTGAATATTCACTCACCCCTCAGGCCATCCAAGATGTAGACGAGTTTGTTCATCATGGGAGCAGATTTGGAGAAATGTAGCATCACATCACTTGCTCAACAATGGATGCTCTGCAGTGAATGGGTGCCGTCAGAATGAGAGTCCAAACAGCTGATAAAAACATCACAATAATCCACACCACTCCAGTCCATCAGTTAATGACTTGTGAACTGAAAAGCTATGTGTTTGTAAGAAACCAATCCATCATTAAGATGTTTTAACATCAAACCATTGCTTCCGAATAAAATATGAGTCCATAATCCATAATAACGCTTCCTCCAGTACAAAAGTTCATCCCCTGTTTGCCCTTTTTTTTGACTTGTAAACTGTACTCGATTTGTGCATATTTAAGACGACTTTTTCACTGGAGAAAGCAATTTTATGGATAGAGAGAGTTTATTTTAGCATTGGATCCAACAGTTTAAAGTTAAAAACATCTTAATGATGGATTTGTTTCTTACAAACATGCCCTACAGATCACTTCATAAGATTAACTGATGGATTGGTGTCATGTGGATTATTGTGATGTTTTATCAGAGGTTTCATTTTTGGGTGAACTATTCCTTTAAACGATCCCTAAACAACCTGCACTTTGAACCTCTGACCTCAAGTATAAGCAACAGTAACATTGATGCTTCCCTGAGCAAACACTACTGATAAAACGAAAAAGTCTGACCAATATATTGCACCAAACACGTCTTGTATTTGTTGCCTGTGCTTGCTTTCCATAAACACTCTCCCAGAAATCATCTGTTTGACGGCTCGTTGTTAAATCCTCAAAGAGAGCGTAGGTTAAAAAAAAAGAGACGATGGCCCGCAGCTACGTCTGATTAACTTAACGAGAATCGAGAAATGAAAAGTGTCACTGCAGTTCTTCTCCCCAGCTAAATTGCCTCCTGTATTTGTACAGGCCCTAAAGGACTTACTAAAGCCAAAGCTGAATAAACCAGTGATTTATCTCAAACACGGCTCTGCGTTAGCCGATAGCGGGAAGACATGGTACCCTTGGGTGCTAGTGCATGAATAGACAGGGCGGGAGAGGAGAGGATAACAGCGCAGGGAATATTACAGTCACTGCTGCTTAGGGTTATGATAGAGGAACTGGAAATGAAGGAAAATTACACTGTGGCTTTTTCACATGGTCGATTAAGTTTCTACTGCAGTCAAAAGGGCCGTGTGCTGCACTTCTGTAGCACTTTATTTTTTCCCTGAGGTCCACTTAAAATGTTATTCAAAGTTTCATGTGCTTGTTGTGATGTAGTTTTACATGGTCATTTTCCACCCTCTCACTGACCCTTATGCTTAAACAAGCTGTTTTTGCTGCTGTGCCTCTAGCACTTCATATGTAAATGAGTTCTGTGATGATCTATTCAGCCTCATGAGAAAAAAAAAAAACAGACACTGCACTTCTGTAAAATGTGAAATACGTTGCTGCAGGTCCAAATTGGTGCAGTTTCGAGGTGAAATGACCACCCGCTTTGCTAAATGTGCTATCTATGAGGGATCTATGATTTTTGCTTTTCGAGAACTTATACCATCAAGTTGCACAGAACAACAAAAACTCAGTACAGTCTAAGTTCAGAGGTATTTCATTTTTTACATTTTTTCAATATTTTTTAAGAAAGTTTTAAGTACACAATAAATTGAGCAAAAGTGACAGTAAAAAAATTCACATTGTTACAATAAATGCTGTTATTTTCAATGTTTTATTACATATATACTGTATTTTTTATTCAATTAATGCAGCTTTGGTAAGAATAAGAAACTTCCAAAAATAGTAGTAAATAAATATTGCAGTAAATAATAACGACCCCAAACTTTTGAACCGTAGAGTTTCTGTATCTGAATTTGCTATACATATTATTATTAACAGTAATAATATATTAAATTCATATTAAACAGCTTAAATGTATTAAAATACAGTGGACTGAAAATACAAATACTCACATTTCTTGAGGATATTTAAATCACAATTTAAAAGTAGGCAACATGTACATGATATATAGAGTTCTGCATATGTGCTTTTACAGCATTATCATTACAATTCAATTTAATGACAATATATTATTAATTAATTAAATATTTATTAAAAAAAATATATATATATATTTTAAATTCAAACGTAAATATGCATATAATGTAGGTATTTAATACATGTTAAATTGCTATTTTGTAAATAATTTAATACATCAAATTAAACTTACTAAGGCCTCCCAATCCCATTTGTGTAACAAGTTGTTGAGTAACGAATCTGCATTTTGGTGGATAATAGACACGGAACCAAACCAAAACAATTTTTTAAATATAAACTGCTTACTCATTTATTTTCAGGAAGATTAACTAAATATAAAGTGTTTGTGTGCCTGCAATTATGTGTTCAACTTGAATCATTCCCAAATGATGTCTGATTTAAAGCACTGGGTTAGTTGATTTGCTTTATAAGCTTTGTGATTGTGTTGACAAACATGTCTACAGTGCATTATTTTCCATGTGTCTATTGCCCTTACGAGTAATTCACGTGTGATGTGATCTGGTCGCAGTGACAACCACACACGCTTCCTGCTGATCTACATAGTCCCTCGAATAAGGTACACAGAGTGAGAATTTGTAGGTTTACTATAGAAAAGCTAAAATGTGTTTAAAAGTGTGACTGACCAAATCTACTGGCTCGGTTTGGCCCTCTCATGCTCAAGTGTCAAGCTACACCCATGTTATTACATTTAAAATCCAGACAGGGTAAGAGGTAATAGGGTAACTGACCTGTTAACCACACCAATAATGCCCAGTCTCACGGGAATGACCCGGCCCAGCAGCACCTCCAGAGCATCTGTCCCCGCGTCCATCAAATCCAGCTTACTCACCACCAGCAGCGTCCTGCGACCTGAGTGCACACAGCCAATGAATACACTCCCTTCCCACAGTGCCATTCGATGTGTACTAATGGCATCTGGACATTCTCTACATGTCGCTCACCATCTGGATCCACCTCTCGTGCCAGTTTAAGGGCATCCGATGTGGCGAGGTCAGAGTTTGCAGGAGAAACACACAGGATGAGGGAGTTGGGGTTGGAGATGTAAGACAGAATCATCTCTTGGACTTGAGTCTCGATATCTTCAGGCTGGTCACCAACCGGGACCTACTCAAGAAAAGATCACATCACATCACATGACAAAGATTGAGCAGGTGTATGAAGCAATTAGGGCTGGAACTAACGATTATTTTGATAATCGATTAATCTGTTGATTACTTCTTTAAATAATCTGATAAAAATTAGAGATGCACCGATATGAAATTTATCAGCCAATACCAATAGCCGATTATTCAGAATGTTATCTGCCGATATTTGGTTTTCTAAAGGAAAGAAAACATCTCTCCCAACTTATGCTGTAAACTACAGGGATTCCTCTCATTTGGTACATTACACTATTATATTCAATGACATTTATTTTTAGATATAATAATCACACTCAATTCAATTGCGCATAAGGTAGTTTTCATAAAAACTTGTCTTCATGAAAGATTTATTCAAACATACTTATATAATTAACAGTAAACAAGCTTCTCTCTAGTGTTTTTATAGCTAACTAACCAACTCTGAACACTGGATAATTTTCCTGAGGTAAATGCAATGACTATATGAATATATGAGACATGATACATTTCGGTAAGTTGTACTGTATCTTTCATACCTTCTGATGTTCATTCATGTTTATTTCATGCTATAACTTGTATTAAAGGGGAATAGACTCGCGCACCGCGCTGCCGCTTGAACTGAAGCTGCTACAGTGATTGCTCACGCCACATTCAAGAGCATCAAAACGGCATTTATTGTTTGAATTTTGTGATATTGGGCCCTATTTTAACGATCTAAGCGCATGGTCTAAAGCGCATGGCGCAGGTGCACTTAGGGCGTTTCCGAATCCACTTTTGCTAGTTTAACGATGGGAAAAATCCTAATTTTTTTATTTTTTGTGCCCAAAATATATTTTTAACATGCTAAATATATTTTAATAGTGTTTAAGTTTTTATTTTAATATTGTACTTTTTTTTTGAACATTGTAAAATATGTTCCTTGCTGGATTTTATTGAAATGTGTTATACGTTCACACATGTTATAGACAACGAATAAAGTTTTTCTTCAAATGTGACATGTGAATGTATTTTCTTGGATTTAAATATATAGGGCAAAATTATCTTTTTAAAAAGATATTTATATTTTTAAACTATATTTTCAAAACAATGTATTGTATATTTTTTAATTAAAATATATTTGAAAATACCTATTCTTGGCTGTGTGGTGTGCTCTGTCTGTTTGAAGTGCACGCATACACCGACGTTCATTCAGTGAAGTCTGTGAAGGTTACAGAGATTCACTAGCTTTCAGGGCTAGCCTTTATGTAAAATGGACATAATAGCATGACTTTCTAAGATTTACAGATAAGGATACAACTGTGAAATGCAAGTTATGCACTGAGGAAAACACGTCTCAAATGCTTTGCATAGCACACATAATTGTCAAGCTTGCTGTTAGAGCATTCTTATGTACAGGACAACTTGGGTCGTGCACTTTTCCTGCAGCAGCTCACTTTGTGTCCTCCGCTATATGTCATATGCGTTTCTTCCATAGAAATATCTTATTCACTAGTGTAAACTGACATGACCGGAGGATGCGCAGATGCGATTAATCGAATAGAATTTGCTGTCAATTATTTTCATTGCCGATTAAAATTGATTTTATTGATTAGTTGTTGCAGTCCTAGAAGGAATGGATTACACATTTTTCGTAGTTCAGAGAATTTTAGTGAGTAAAATCCTGTCATTTCAATAGGAATGCATGCAATCAAGAATTTAGCATGAGGCAAAAGATTTCCCCACCACAGATTTCACAACAGGTTTGCTGAACAATAGAAGGATGCTTAGTTTGAATGTGACTTCTGTGTGGGCTCTTTGACAAAAGACAACAGACCTATTATTGCTATTGCACTGAATTTACCCAATCAGATTAAATAATCTCCTTTTGTGTTCCAAAGATAAAAGTGTAATACTAGTTTGGAGTAAATGACAAGAGAACATCATTTTGTGTTACTTATTCCCTGAACTAGAGATAAACAATTGAAGAACTGATAAATAATTCACAAGTTAATAATACAATAAATTCTCTGATAGAATATATTTGAAATAATTGGCCGGTCTCCACATTATTAAGCGTTTGATAAAATCGCTGCTTCAAGTTAGGAGTGTTTTCTTCACATCCTGTGTTTTTCAGCACTTGTTTTAATTGCATTTCATATTAGGAAGAACTAGACACTGGACTTGACTTTTGAAGTTCGTCAAGATGCAGTGCTTCAAATCTTGAAAATACTGTATATTAAATATATCCTTAGTACAATGTAAATCAGTTATAATTGTCCCTAAACATCATGCAAAACCTGTGCTTGGTCATTTCAATCAGTTAGATGCCGTCTTCCTGTCTATAAGTGGTCGTTTTTTGATCATAAGAAGCTGGAATGTGGACCAGACTTTACGCTACTAGTCAAAAGTCTGGTTATGTGAGAATAATAGCCCAGTTATCCAAGCATACGGTATATGGTGCCATTTACTATGAGAATGCTCGTTTCCTAAACTCATATTTATTTTTTTGATTTTATTTTATTTTTATATAATTCATTGTACTAAAATAACATTGTACTAATAAGATAAAATTGAATATAATACTTCAGCTTTTTTATCCTCAAGCAAATGAGTTTGTTTGCATTACATGGTAAAAGAACAGGTCCAGTCATTGTGGGTACCTTAGTGATGCCAGGCAAGTCAACTAATGTCAGACTAAGTACGTTAGGGGAATAGATCTTCAGGTAAATGGGCTCAGGACTGATGCCCTGGGGAGGAAAAAGAGAACATCTAAATGAGATCAATTAAAACAGAGCCTTAAAATGGAACCTCAAACTATATGAAGTGCCATGCTTCCACTGCACCTTATTATTGGTACTTCGATCTGTTTCCTCCGCGATCTCTTTCCGGATTTCACTGAAATCTGTGAAAATCTGAGCAACGAGAATACAGCATCTCAATAGAGTCGAGGTTAACAAGCTACGATGTGTTCTGAATGACCTATTTTTTCAACATGAACTGCAACTTTTTAATTACCTGGTTTTTGCAGTGAAGGAAGGTGCCCCATTCCTCTGCTTTGATACCTTTAGAAGATCGAGAGAGAAGAACACAAGACAACACAAATCAATATTTATGACAATGAGCCTAGCAGAAACCCTATTCCCATAAAAGACCTCAACGGAAATAAAAGCTTTTTACAGGCTTTGACTGCAAAGTGAACTGACGTCAACAAAACGTGAAATCAATATTCAACCAGAAATGTTGCAGTGGCCACATACATTAGCACACAACTGAGAGAGTGAAGCCCGAACGTGCATTTGCTCTAGTCTCAAAGTGCAGGAAACAGTACCAGAAAGATTTAGAAATGAAAACACGACAGATGGAAAAGCAATCTAGATTTTAAAAAACGACATTTATGAAACAGAAGACGAAGCAAGGGCTGTGGGATGAGAAGCACACCGGAAGAGTGAAATGGACAGATGAACGTGCATGCAGACAAAATGTTTGTTGCAAAACAGAGACCTGGAAAATTGTTTTGGGTGTTTTGTTTAGCTCCTTTTCCTGAGAAAGCGGGAGAACAGCAGAGAGAGCGTTAGGAAGAAACACTACTGTAAGTGGATTAGAAACAAATTCACAGAAAGATCAGGATACATCAACATTGTCAGAGAGCGGACGTTAAAAGGGACATTCCGGGCTAAGTTAAGCTCTGTGTGTGGAAAAATAAAGCAATAACCGCATTTACAGTAATGCACTTACAGTAAAAGTCTATGGGACAAGACATCCCAGAGGATTTAAATATGAAACCCATTGAAATATGAAGAAATATGATGCACATACCTAAGACATATGAAGCTCTCATTTTTGTTAACATGCATACATATATATATATAACTTCTGTTCAAAGTTTTGGGATCAGAACAATTTTTTTAAATAAATTAATTACTTAAATTAATATTATTAATCAGGAATAAATTGATCAAAAGGAACATTAATAAAACGAATTATGCTATGTTAAGTATTATTTATTAAGTGTTATTTATTATTTCAAATAAATGCTGTTCTTTTGAACTTTTTATTCATCAAAAAATCCTGCAAAAAAAAAAGTATCATGGTTTCCACAAAATATGAAGCAAAGCAGAACTGTTTTCAACATTGATAATAATAATAAATGTTTCTTGAGGAGCAAATCATCATATTAGAATGATTCCTGAAGACTGGAGTACTGATGCTGAAAATTCAGCTTTGATCACAAGAATGAATTCATTTTTCAAAAAAGATTAAAATAGAAAAACTTTCAACTGTCTTTACTGCATTTTTGATCAAATAAAATCTTACCAACTTCAAACGTGAGCTTTAATTCAACTAGTAAGCTTTTTATTACCATGTAAAATGTTTATGTATTGTGGAGATATTTTTGAGATAGTGTGTATTTTAGCATGGTATGTACTAAACCAGAATATGTCTTAAAGGTTTTTTACTTGAAGAACACTGAAAACATATTTGTTGTACTTCTACTTCAAGGTATGCAAAGCAAGCACTTGTGTGCTAGACATGTTCTCTTGTGAAAAACTGTAACTCCGTTTTATTTTGTTTTCTCAATGTGTTTAAACTTTCTGGCTGTGTCATAAAACCTAGTAAGCTACCTAGACAGTATTTCCGGGCATCACAGTCATTTCAATGTGTGTGTGTGTGTGTGTGTGTGTGTGTGTGTGTGTGTGTGTGTGTGTGTGTGTGTGTGTGTGTGTGTGAGAGAGAGAGAGAGAGAGAGAGAGAGAGAGGGTCACATCACAGTGGAGTCAGCTGTCTTAACCGTGGCTTGTGTACTGCAAACACATACCAGCTTCATCACTGTGTCTGTCACGTGACTCTGTTCCCCTTTCGGGCTTGAACTGATGGTAAAACTAATGACATTATTAACTGTCTTGATATTTATATGACGCCCAAAAATACTGTTTAGGTTGGAAGACCACTATTTTTTGAGACACAGTATGCGTGTCTGCAGTCGATAGAGTACAGATATGATAAACCCTTAAAAGAGAGACACTTGTTACCATTGTCTTGTTTCCGCCTCTCCTCCAGCGGAGGCACGTTCACCAGCTGTAGCACTAGAGGGCGCCGAGTCACTATTCCTGAACCTCGGGGCAGAAAGTCTCGTCCAACCAAACTCTCCAGTACTGAACTCTTTCCACTGCTCTGTAGATTCATTTGAAGAGACCCACAGAGCACATGCTTGACTTCACAGAGAAAATACTGGCACTGTGTTTACATGTAGACCTGCTTCATGATGTGCATGATGTATTATCACGAAACAAAGATGACACCTGAAGTAGTGACGCTTTGCATTTTAATACACTGCATAAAGACTCATATTCAAACCTTGCATATTTTTCATGACTCACCTGTGACCCCACGACTACGATCTGTGGAAGCTGGATGATCTCGGCTCCAAGTGTGAGGAAAACCTCCTGCAGCCTGTTAATGATGGGAATCAGAGTTTCCATCTATGAAGAGAAAGACAAATGGACGTACTGAGTGTAAAGCTGCTATACTCAAACAACAGATAGTAGCTTAATCAATAGAGATGCTTCACATATTATACCAGCGTTTTATATATTATATATATATATATATATACATATACATACACATTTTTCCCAATTTTTTTAAGCAAGAGCATTTTTAATCATTTAAAATATAATTACATTTTGTATGATCACTTTTTATTTTATATATTTTAAGAAGTACAGGTCTGAATTAGTATGTTGCTTCATTTTTAAAATAATAAATAAGTTACTCTGAATGACAATGGAACATTATTCACCCATATTTTTGATACAAGTTGATACATACAGACATACACACACACACACAAACACACATACACACATACACACATACACACACACACACACATACACACACAGACATACACACACACACACATACACACACACACACACACAGAGAGAGAGAGGGTCACATCACAGTGGAGTCAGCTGTCTTAACCGTGGCTTGTGTACTGCAAACACATACCAGCTTCATCACTGTGTCTGTCACGCGACTCTGTTCCCCTTTCGGGCTTGAACTGATGGTAAAACTAATGACATTATTTACTGTCTTTACATTTATTTTGAAAGATGAAGCTGCGATTATGGTAAGGAGTGTTACATTTCCGACGAGTGCTTGTGGTGTTCGGCCAATCACAATGCACTGGGTCAGCTGGCCAATCAGAGCAGACTGCGCTTGTCAGAAGGAGGGACTTTGTAGAAAACGAAGTGTTTGAGAGAGGCGGGGCATAGAGGACCTACAATAATGTACAGTATTTGAAAAATAATGTGTTTTTTAAACATTAAAGCATGTCAACATATTCTGTTACACCAAATACACAAAATAACGACCTTTAAAATAGCATCACATGACCCCTTTAATGTTTAAATCATAAACTCATATACATCTTACATATATATATCTTACGCTTCACATGTAAACAGCACAAGTCTGAACAAATGACCCTGAAAGACACTAATTTGATGTGATTAATTTGTAGTACACACATACATATATATATATAAATACACATGTACAGTCATACGCATTGCTAGTAACTAAAAGCACAGGTCTGCACAAATGACCATTTCATTCAATAAAACGAGACTAATTTGGTAATTAATCTGCAGTTATATTGAATATGTCACGGCGGACATCAGCCCTGCAGGGTGTGCTGCTGCCTGCAGAACAACAGGAGAAACCATATAAACATTAGCTGAACGGGCTACATACCTCCCGTAATGCGCTGTGTCGAGCAGTGGCTACAGAGTTACACAATCAGAGCGTTATAGCGCGCACTGTCATGCTGGAAATATGGAAAACACAACGTGCAGTCACGGAAGGACCGACATGTTTCGAGGTTTCGCTTTTCTGCGCCCTCACAGCAGGCTGCCAAAGACGGATCCGGCGTCGGCGACGAGACATCTGATTGGCTAATGCAGTGATGACGCCAGAGTCTGCTTTCAGCTCATTGGATAAACGACCTATCAATCATAACACGTCACGCCTGCTTCTCCACGCCCCTTCCCAGCATCAGGACCCCTACAGTATTTCTTCGGGGGCTTCAGTGTCACTGTAGCGTTAGGATATCGGTAGTTCTTCTGGAACTACGAGGGAAAAAATAATTTCATAACATTTCAAAAGATTCGAAACGCGTCGACTCTATTCGGATGTTTGTGTACAATGATATGAACGATATGAGTTAGGGAAGTCGGCTTGGAGAGGTGCGTTATTGAGGAAGTGTGAACGAGTCAGATTTAGACACAAACGATCAAACTGTGCAACTCACATGACGAAGAGCACAGGAGGAGCCTCGCCCTGCCCTGTTTAGTTTGCATTTACATTTAGTCACTTAGCAGAGGCTTTTATCCACGTTATTATTTTTCCTGATTAAACTTATCATAAATGCACCTTTAGGTAAGTTTTACTACAATGAGTTTACTCGTGTAATTCAAAGTGTTGCATGCATATGTGGATAAAAAGTTGTTTTTATATGTAATTGTTTAGTTTTGCTGGCTTGTATGTGTCATCCAAATCAAAATAAAATGCAGAATACTGTATGCACTAACTGCTACAAAGTGAGGGATTCGTTTAATGTGTTTCTTCCTCCTCGCCATTTTGGAGTCATTAGAAAATGACGGAGGGGGAAGTCCGATTCATTTTAGCGAATCGGTTCGTCCGGACAGTTCATTTAAATGGGTTCACTCAAAACGGTTCTTCTAAGACTTTACGGTGGCAGTACATTTTAGTCAAATATGATTGTTCATAACCATGTTTATTGTGCTGTCAAACGCTCTACCGTGTCACCCACCTCGCCGTTTTCTCTCCCTAACGCCTCTCATACTGTAGACCGATTCAAATCTCCTTGCGAATCGGTTCGAATGAATCACTCAATAGAACCGGTTGAAACACAATGCGCTCGTGATTCGAACATCAGTATTTTGCGGCAGTCCCTCCCTTGTGACTCCAGTCATGTCCTGCTCTGCTCGGAGGAAACGCATAATACCCCGCAACAGCTGATGTGCATCTGGATCAGAAGAAGCACGGGGCGGGTTCTGTGGAAGTTTCGCACGCGCAGCGAATATCAGAACCAGCCGCGACGGTAAACGCGACGAGGCGAAGGTAAATCGTCTCGGCGGGTTGTTTTCCTCAGTCTGTCAAAGCTGATTGGGGCATACAATATCACATCATTTTAGACCGTGCTCTTTTATGTTTTTGCATTTCATAATGTGGATTATGTGTGTCGTTCTGTTGATTGGTTCGGGGTCCTCATGGCATACAATATCTGTCCTTGCCAGGACAAAGTTCTTGGTCACACGAAACAAAGACTTTGTGGGTTTCGCTTCTGAAATGCGTGTGTTACACTGTAACGGCATGTTTTCACGACAGTAGCATCACATGACTCAGCCACTGCACTGCTGCCTTTTCTCCCCCGTTTCAGAATGTAGTTTATTCTAACCTAACATTTTTATGCAATTGAAAATAGTAATTAAACAATAAATATGTACTTGTGACCAGTGTTGGGGAAAGTTACTTTTAAAAGTAATGCATTACAATATTGCGTTACTCCATAAAAAAAGTAACTAATTACGTTACTTAGTTACTTTTGTATGGAAAGTAATGCGTTACGTTACTTTTGCGTTACTTGTTAAATCTGGACAGGGCTTGCTTGTTTGTTTTTCAAATAAAAAAGTTATATTTTTGGCAAATATAAAAGCCTTTTCACACCAGAAGTGAAATGAATAAGCCTCAGGCTGAAGGGAAAGTACAGTAGAATGCAGAAGAAGAAATTTCAACACACTTCAGCAATAAAAGAAAGACGCACAAATGTGTGTCTAGAGTAATTTGTGCTTATTAGTACGCTTGAACTGGATCCTCGAAGGTCTGAAGCAAATAGAATGGGATTAAATACATAAAGGACATTTGTGTTGTTTAACATTTAATTATTGCAGTTATTGCAATTATATACTGAATCTGTGTTTTTTTTTGTGAGTGAGATGAATCAATGCATATTCGTATTTATTTTAGAACTACAGTAACATCTGATTTCTCTCGACATGGGGACAGCAGAGCTGTCAGTCAATTGGAAAAAAAGTAACTTGCGTTACTTATTTGAGAAAGTAACTCAGATATTCTCTTATAAATTAAAAAGTAATGCGTTACTTTACTAGTTACTTGAAAAAAGTAATCTGATTACGTAACTCGCGTTACTTGTAGTGCGTTACCCCCAACACTGCTTGTAACCTTGACATATTACACATTCATTTTAGTTCATTTAAAGTCAAACGTCAAATATAATATGCCTAAAATAGTGCCCAAGAACACAACTGTGCGGTTTCAGCTTTTAAGTGCAAGTTAACCCGTCGAGCATTTGTCTGTGGCAAATAACACATCTTCTGCTTCTGCCTAGCATCCGTCTCTGCGTCCCAGCTTTCTCCTACACATCATGGCCTCTCGTAAGAAGGTGCTGCTCAAAGTGATCATCCTAGGGGATTCTGGGTAAGTGTTTGTGCATGCAACATCTTTGTGCTATCAGTGATGTTTAGATTGTTATGATCAGTCGTGAGGCTTTGTGCTCTGTAATGCACATCTAAAGCAGCTGTGCATATGTAAACGTCATTGGCTTGGCATGACTCGAGGGATTCCCCTGACTTCCCATCATCCACGGCCTCGGTGTCGGTGCGGTTGGAGTTTGCTCAGTCCTGATGGCCGATCACACTCTCTGTGAAACACTGCTGGATGAGTGCAGTCCGTCATGCAGGACTAGCTGAAGAATATTATCAAGACTTCAAGCTATGCAGATCGAAGATCAGCTGCACGCGTTTCTAAAGCATTGTCCCGTTTGTCTTTGACAGAGTTGGGAAGACCTCTTTGATGAACCAGTATGTGAATAATAAGTTCAGTAATCAGTATAAGGCCACTATTGGAGCCGACTTCCTGACTAAGGAGGTGATGGTGGACGACAGACTGGTCACCATGCAGGTTTGCATTCATTTATATTTAACTGGAGTGCATTTCACTCACACAGCCGTTCAAAAGTTTGGAGTCAGAAGGATTTTTTTGGGGTTAAGAAATCAGTACTTCCATTCAGCAGGGATGCATTAAATTGATCAGAAGTTACAGTAAAGACATTTATAGCGTAACAACGGATTCTTTCGTTCTTTTGAACTTTCTATTCATCAAAGAATCCTGAAAAATAAAATGTATCACAGTTTCCACAGAAATATGAAGCCGCGCCACTGTTTTTAACATTAATAATCAGAAATGTTTCTTGAGCATCAAATCAGCATATTATACTGATTTCTGAAGGATCATGTGACTCTGAAGACTGGAGTTATGATGCTGAGAATTCAGCGCTGCATCACTGTAATAAATAACATTTTAAAACATAGCATAGAATTCCCATAGAATGACTGTTTGTACTGTATCCGTGATCAAATAAAGGCAGCCTTGGTGAGTCTTTCGAAAACATGAAAAGATCTCAAACCCCAAACATTTGAATGAAAGTGCTATTCGTGTATGAGTGAATAACATAAAGAGATGTCTGGGTCATAATTCCCCCTAAAATCCAAAAGAAAAAAAGTGTATTTTTTAGAAGGATAAAATGCATGGTTTTTATTTTATTTTATTTTTTTTATTTGTATTGTTTCATTTGTATGGTTTAAAGCAGCTTTACGGAAAATATGAAAAATGAAAGAAAAATGTGAAAGCCAAAGGTGACATCATGGTATTATTTATGGACATTTTTACGCCAAGCATAATCTTTAAATAGATCATTCGTCCTTTGATTTTGGAGTTTATGTCAGACTAACTCTCATACGCCTATAATAGCGGTGATTTACCAATTAAATGAGTCGTTTTGTAACCTGCTGAGAAATGAATACGAGGCCAGAGTGCTCTGAAGATGACGCTGTCATTTCCTTAACAACCATTATTTTGTGAACAATTCCTCACAGCAGTAATCATCTCTGGTCTTGTGACACTCTGCTCAGTCATCTCACAAATATGAAGCCTCTGTAGTTACTCCTAGCTAATGGGTAGGATCTCGTCTCAGAGTTTGGCACTCATTCTGACGTCAACGTTCTTCTGATGCCATGTGCTGATCATGTGAAATAAATAAGTCACATTAAGCTTGATGTCTGGTAATCCGCTTGTATTTTCCCAGTCAGCACAGATTCACGTTGTGTTTGCTTGTAGCCATGTTGTAACCTGTATGACCGGTCATGTGACATGCCCAGACAAGCAGTATTTGTGAAGTTATTCCTGAAAAGTTATTTTTTAGATTAAAAATAATTAGTTTTTCTATATTATAATACTGTAGTTATTCTGTCTGAGCAGTTGCTCATGACAACTTTACTAATGAATGCATTTATGAAACCCGTATTAGCCTTTGCCAAATGGACAACACAAGAATAGACACCAAATGTTGTATGTTTAATAAGGTTCAAGAGGCTGTTCTAAATTGTTAAAGGGATAGTTCCCCCAAAAATGAAAATCCTGTCATCATTTACTCACCCTCTAGTTGTTCCAAACCTGTATGTGTTTCTTTCATCAGCTGAACACAAAAGAAGATATTTTGAAGAATGCGTGGGTAACTAAACAGTTGCTGGTAGCCATTGACTTCCGTAGTATGGAAAGAAGTACTATGGAAGTCAATGGGGACCAGCAACTGTTACACACAGGGTGACTCATTTTTGGGTGAACTGTGTCTTTAAGAAAGGCAAATAATATAGTGGCAAAAATGAAAGTGTTGTTAATTAACTTCTTGTTACTTACTGTAAATAATTTGGTTTTCTTCTTCAAGATTTGGGACACGGCGGGACAGGAGCGCTTTCAGTCTCTGGGCGTGGCGTTCTACAGAGGGGCGGACTGTTGCGTGCTGGTGTACGACGTCACGGCACCAACTACATTCAAGACTATGGACAGCTGGAGGGACGAGTTTCTCATTCAGGCCAGTCCTCGTGACCCGGAGAACTTCCCCTTTGTTGTGCTGGGCAACAAAATCGACCTGGAGAACCGGCAGGTCAGTGTGCAGACCGGAGCTGGTATGGTTAAGAACGCCTTGGTTTTAAAGAGTTACAAATGAGTAGAACGAATGCATGAGCATTGTGTGTTTTGAATGGTTGATATGGATAATATAATGAGATGTGCACTAATGTTCTAAAGTTTGGGGTCTGTAACTTCTTTCAAAATCATTCAAATACATAAATAATTCCGACTTTTGAATGGAAGTGTAATTCCTATATTGGTGAATCACTAAAGAAATGCCTGGGTACTTTACCCCAAAATCCAAAAGAAAAAAATTATGTTTTTTTTGTTTGTTTTTTTATGAATAATATGATCTTTTGCATTATTTTGTATTTTTTTTTTTCATTTAATTTGTATAGTGCTTAATACCATCTTAATGTTTAAAGCAGCTATTATTAAATATGATTAGAATTTAAAATAATAATTTTCTATTTGAATAGATTTTAAAATATAATTTATTCCTGTGGTGCAAAGCTGAATTTTCAGCATCATTACTCCAGTCTTCAGTGTCACGTGATTCTTCAAAAATCATTCTAACATACTGATTTGCTGCTCATTCTAACATTTCTGATTATTATCAATGTTAAAAAGAGTTGTGCTGCTTCATATTTTTATGGAAACTGTGACACTTATTTTTCAGTATTCTTTGATGAATAGAAAAGTTCAAAAGAACAGCATTTATGTGAAACAGCATTTGCAACATTATAAATACTTTTACTATCACTTTTGATCAATTTAATAAAAAAATTAAAAAAAAGACTTTTAATGGTAGTCTATGTGAAAGGACCATTATTGGCCAATAATCTCAAAAATAGGCAAATAGCCAAAATTAGAACAGGGAACATTGTCTATCAAGAGAATATTAAGTGACTTAATAAAATAATATATAAGCCATTTTTAGATGTAATTCATCATTTCATCCCCAAATCCTTTCTGTTTTGAACAGGTAACGACAAAGCGAGCGCAAGCGTGGTGTCAGAGTAAGAACAACATCCCCTATTTTGAGACCAGTGCCAAAGAAGCCATTAACGTGGAGCAGGCCTTCCAAACTATCGCTCGCAATGCACTTAAACAGGTACTGGAAGTTGTGTATACCTGTCTTCAGATCAATTTCAGAAATATGATTCAACAAAATCTAATTGTTCCATATAGCTCACTTTCATCAAGATCCTGTTTGATATCAGATGAAAAAAGACAATAATCAGTAATCTATCACCTTGTTAAAAAGATGAAAATTGTGTATTGATACAATTTACTACCCAAATTGCTATGAAGCAATATACTCCCCAAAGCTTTTGTTCCATAGAACAAAAAAAGGAGACGTTTAGCAGAATGTTCACGCTGCTCTTTTCAATACAAAAAGCTCCATACAAGTAGCTTGTACAACTTGTGCTACATTCCAAATCTTCTCCAATCCATTAAGTCATAAGTGCAGTCACATTAGCATAAATTAGTCAAAATCGTATATTGTCAATAGTATAAGTGACGTAAGAAGCACAGCTCACACAGAAGTCACTTTCAAACCAAGCAGCTTTCTTCTGGTTAATTCGATGAATCCATGTGACAAGTGTGAACCCGTTGCAAAATCTGCATGAGGAAATCATTCACCCTCAAAGCAAAAGTTTTTCACTATAATTATTGCCCTCTGCCTTTAAAATCTCATTTGCAGATATTCTGATATGCTGTATGAAATGAATTTAACGTCCGTGATGTTGGACATTCTGAAATGCGAATGAGATTTTAATATTAGACTTAAATATTGCTGTTTTTGTCTCACACAGCTATTTTATGACTCTGGAAGAAATGGAATATAGTAACTTAATAATATGTAAATCAGTCATATGAACTTTTTTTCTGGCACTTGTCGTTTCTTGGCTCTTTTTCGAGCTGCAGCTTTCATTGTATGGAGAAGTGTAGCTCCTTTTTTTGTTTTACGCAAGAAAAAAAAAAAA